CTCAATTAGAAAAGAGACGTCCAGCAAAGGATTAATTAATGAGACTGACACACCCTTTCTTAGAGGATATAAGGGAGCGCACGACTTTGTAATCTTTGCTGGAAACAAAGTGAGTTTTGCCTTGGAAAGATTTGCGTCTGATTACTGCGTTGTGATTTACGAACTATACAGAATTGCCAGACAGATTCTAGGAGGATTGCCAAAGAACTGTGATAACAGAGCAATTGAATCTTCTGTCTCTGGTTTTGTAAAGCATTTGAACTATATAACTTGAAGTTTCATCTGTGGATACAGGTGGGACAGAACATTGTACCATGGCATAAACATGTTGCAGGGCAAATATCTTTAGAGAACTTCAATTTAAGTGATACATGTTTTATATTTGTATTATTACTATTTTTGATCATCAGACTGGGTCTGGCATTTTTGTCTACCTATTGAGACATGGGATAGACAGATGTGGATGTTTGAAGGTATTACAGATATCATTGCAGGATGGAAACTATTCCAAGTAAAGTTGCCTTTTGCAATTGACTGATGGTGAATTTTTCAATGCCAATATTGTTCAAGTGGTTTAGTTGTTTTAGGATTGCACCCAAGGCACTTATTACTATTGGTACTACCCTTGCTTGCCTTTGCCACAGTTGTTCTATTTCTATTTGTAGATCTTTGTATTTTGTTATCTTCTCCGGTTCTTTCTCTTCTCTTCTGCTGTCTCCAGACACCGCCATGTCCACTATCCAGATTTTTTTGTATTTCTTATTGACAATTGTTAAGTCCAGGGTGTTGTGTGGCAGGTGCCTATCTGTCTCAATTCTAAAATCCCAGAGCAATTTAACTTCTTCATTTTCTATCACTTTCTCTATTTTATGGTCCTACCAGTTCTTACTTGCAGGATTTCTTGCAGATCTTCCAATGTACCATGTTGCTACTTTATCATGTTGCTGCTTGTAGTCAGTCTGTGTGATCTTGAAGCAGCTTACCAGGTGCCCACTGTTTCTTCAGCTTCTTTGCATAAGTGGTACTTACTGTCTATTGCTGTCTTCTCAATTCTGGCTTTGTATGCATTTGTCCTTAAGGCTTGGTCTTGCGTAGTCAGAATTAGTCCCTCAGTCTTTTTCTTCAACTTTCCTGCTCTTAGTCATTGCTAGGTCTTGTTATTATCTGCTTTCCCTGCTATTTTTTTAATGTACTGGCCATGAAGTGCTTTCTCGTCCTATGCTTCCATTCTGCTCTTCATTTGGTCTTTCTTGTAGGCCAATTTGGCCTCTCCAGTAGTTAGTAAGTCTTCCAGATATATTAAATTCAGTGCATCTTCATCATTGTCCTTCAGCTATTCTTCCAAAGTCATTTTTTCTTTAGATTCTTATATACTTGCCATATTCCATTCCACCTATTTCAATTTGCCTTGGTAGGTAGAGCCTTAATTTTACTGATTATTATTATACATTTTTATTCATTAAACATGAAACTCAGTCAACTAAACATTTAAAAATGTATCACAAATATCATTGACTGGCTCTGATAGTTGATATGGGTTGCTGCCAGCATCCTAGGTATCAACCAAGTATCTTCTTAAAATGTATGTTGTTTTTTTGCAGCTTTTGCTGGCACTACAGCAGGAAGCTGCAACTTCTTGTTGTATTTTGCAAAATTCTTGGATATGGTACCAAGTTCTCCGATGACAATGTATATCACTGTTACATGTTTTATCCATAATCACATAATTTTGATGGCCAAGTTGTGATATTTTGTGATATTTTTCCAGTTCTTTTTCTTCAATTCTGACATCTCCTGGTACAGTGATATCAATACGTTTTGGCTTTCGACCACTGTGATATTTGGCGTGTTGTGTTCCAAATGATGATCCGTCTGTATTCAAAAGTATTGTTATTGTTATTGTTGTTGTTGTTATTGCTATTATTCAGCCATGCTTTTATTTTTTGAGGGTGTTTTTGCCTTAACAAAAGCCAGTTTTTAATCAAACCAAAATCAAGTAAGTGCTACCATTCCGAAATGAGAGATTCACTTTTTGAAATTATATACTGTATAATAGTCTTACACACTCTCTCTATATGAATTCACAGAATTTGATTGAAAAGCACATTCCATTCTTCCTCTTTTTTTTTTTTTTTTTTGAATTACTGATACAACAAAACAAAAATAGTTTCTTTCTTCTGCCTGAAGCTTTTTAAGCACAATATAAGATTTGTAATTGTTCCACCTACCTAGGTGAATAGTTTCCCTTTCTTCTTTTTTTTCAAAAAATGTTATTAAAGATTATAATTACAATAGTTAAAACAATACAACTAAGAGAACGACAGAAAATAGAAAGAGAAAAAGGTGCAAAGGGAAAAAATAGAAAAAATATAAGAATAAAAAGAAAAAAGAAAAGAAATAAGCATATAGTACCGAAAAAGAATACACACATATGGAATTGTCCTAGACTCTTGAATGGAATGGGACAACTCACCAGAGCCAACTTGTCATGGAGCAACTCACCGTGGGAAAATTCAACAATTCAATCTAATTATTTAAAATAAAGGAAAACTTATTTTCAGTTTTTCATTTTTATTTCATTTTGTCCCTCCTTTTCAATCCTTTCTCTAATGATTGTTTTCCATCATTTCTTCAATATTAGCATAACTCTTGTCCTATGGCAAGTTGTCCTGTGGTGAGTTCTCCCATGGTGAGCTGGCCATGGTAAGTTATCACATGGTAAGTTGGCTGTGGTGAGTTGGCGATGGAATGTTGGTGATGAACTGCTTAATTGGAGAATCTGATTTATGACACACCCAGGGAGGAGGGAGGAAACAGGGTCACAGGTGACTGTAAATTATGTATGCCAGGGTTGGCTTCATACAGGTTAATGTCGGACATGTAGCTCCTAATAAATATTTTGGTTTCTTTTGAACCTTGGCTCAAGGCTCATGATTAAATTAGGGCAATCATCAGAATCCTAACAACAAGGACAAGGGTGAAAACGACCCAACTGGGGTGAGTTGGCCAGGAGTATAAACAGTTTAGTAACTTTTCAGCACCTCTTACATTACCTTTAAAAACATTGAGCAGATAACAGTTTACTATTAGAATGTTCGTCAAATTCGCCTTGTGATAAGATGGTATTAAAATAATTTAATAATAAATAAATAAGAAAGGAGAAGGTTAGTTGGGTTAAGTATGTCCTTTGCTTTGAAATGTATTGTACCATTATGAAAACTGCTTAAGTTGCTGAGAGAGAAGACTAGATCTTAGAAAGTCCCTAGAAGATAGTGGAAGATTTAATTCAACTGAGATCAATAATTTCAATGTTGCTTAGAGGTGATATTGTACCTCTGATCATGTGCTTTTCAGGGGGTTTTCTAAAGATATAGGTGTAGATATAGGCAATGCTGGGATTCAAAAGTTTTTACTACCAGTTCTGTGGGCGTGGCTTAGTGGGCATGGCTTGGTGGGCGTGGCAGGGGAAGGATACTGTAAAATCCCTAGTGAGTGGTGGTATTTGAAGGTTCTCCGAACTACTCAAAATTTCTTCTACTGGTTCCCCAGAACTGGTCAGAACCTGCTAAATACCTCCTATGGATATAGAGCTTCCTGCTTGAGCAGAGATTTGGACTAGAAGACCTCAAAGTCCCTTCCAACTCTTCTACTTTGTGAGTCTGTTAAGATACAAATAGTTAATAATAAATGTGGATAGTTTGAACTAGAAGTAATGTTTTATTTATTTATTTATTTGTTTGTTTGTTTATATTTCATGTTTCAAAACCACTCAACCTTTTCTTATTCGATTCCCCAGAAGGAAGGGAATTGCACCTGCTAGTGGAAAACCAGACAACAAGCTTGATTAAAATAAACTATTTAGAACCTGAAAAGTTCTAAAAGTTCTATTTGGAATATACTCTGCAGGAATCAGTTCCTATATTCAGGACCAGCTTCTGTATTACAGCTGGAGTGGTGTACATGTAGAACGTGAAAAATACAGGAAAGGTTTTTGTTTTTGTTTTAAGTCAAGAAAATGGCAAACAGTACAAAAATTGAGAAGAAAAGTCATGTTGCTTTTCAGAGATGACTAACCCCAGTCTGCACACTCTGCTGCTTTGAGTGTAACTTCACGCTTGTTCATGTATTTTAAAAATAGAAGGTGTCTTCAGATTTACCAGAATTATGGTTGCCATGACATTTTTTTCAGCAGTAGCATAGCAAAGTGAATATTTGTTCTCAGGGATTATAGACTGGAACATATCCTTGTCCCCAAATTCCACAAAAATTCATTTGGACAAAGTGAGATGAACTACTATAGCCACAATTTTTTGACAATAGATGTCCCATTCCTAATGTTATTAACTCAGATGCTGTTTTATTGTACTGTTTTAACTGTAAAGTCACACAAAGCATGAAAACAGAAATATTTTGTATATATTTTGGGATTTTTGTAAGAGTATAATTGCTTTGAGAATTGCATTTTTAATTACTATGAGAGATGTCACAACTCTATATTATCTTGGGCATAACTCTAAGGATATCCAGTGGGAAATGTAAAGCATATATTTCTAGGGTTGAAAATAGTCCATTATTTTAAAAGGCAATTGTATCAAGTTTGCTCTTCTACCAAGAATGAAACTATCAAAATTCAAGAGAAATCCTACTATAAATAAGACCACCAAGACTAAGGTGTCTTTTTTTTTTTTTCACAGATGGTGATCTAAAAGTTAATGCTTATCTGTTTCTCACAATTATTGGAAGATAAAAAAAGATTATCGTACTCTGCATAGATGTCTCAGCAAGGATAGAAAAATGCAAAGTATGACCCAAGGTTGACCATATCATGAATAAAATGCTTGTTTAATTCTGAACTATATACTCAATTAATACATAAAAATATAAAATCATATATGATTCAATGTGTCATGCATCAAATTAAAGAGATACACACCACTATTTGATTGCTTTTCATCAATCTTTTAGTACAAACACCAGCATTTTCCAGTCACCAATACAGACCAATCACTGGTTCCTGAGAACAGAAATTGATGATTTACTCCAGCTCATTGCAAATATACCCTGCAGATGTTTCTTTCCAGCTTTGATTCAAAATTGCCGTTTTCTGAACTAAGCTGTCTTAAGCTCTTCAGAAAGGATGGTCTTCAGTGCTTTGTTCTGTTCTCATGGCAGTTCAAGTCTGATTGGCAGTGGCATCTGGAATTCCCCTCCCTTCCAGTGGATGGTCTGGGTAACTATACATCTTGAGCTGCTGGCTTACTATGTTTTCTATTGATTAGTGCACGCACAGAGAGAGAGAGGGAGAGGGAGAGGGAGAGAGGGGGGGAACAGAGAGAGAGAGAGACAGAGAAAGAGACACAGAAAGAGAGACACACAGAGAGAGACAGACACAAAGAAACAGACAGAGAGACAAAGAGACAGAGACAAAGACAGAGAGGGAAACATACAAAGAGAGAGAGAGACAGACAAAGAGAGAAGGAGACAGAGAGAGAGAGACAGAGAGACAGGGAAAGAAAGACACACAGAGAGAGAGAGACAGTGAGAGAGACAGAAACAGAGAGACACACACAAATAATTACACAATAATAACATAATAAAAATAATAACATTGACACACAATAGATACAAACTCAAGGTTAACCACACCAAACTTGACTGCAGAAAATACGAGTTCAGCAACAGAGTGGTCAATGTTTGGAATACTCTGCCTGACTCTGTGGTTTCTTCCCCAAACCCCAAAAACTTTAACCTTAGACTGTCTACTATTGACCTCACCCCTTTCCTAAGAGGCCTGTAGGGGGCATGCATAAGCGCACCAATCATGCCTACCGTCCCTGTCCTATTGTGTTTTTTTTCTTATAAGTATCTATCTCATGTATTCAAAACTATATTTATTCTTATAAATAAATAAATAAATAAAGGGAGAGAAAGACAGAGAGACAGAGAGAGAGAGACAGAGAGACAGAAACGATTACACTTGATACAACAACTGTCTGTTAAATTCATGAACAATTTTCAGTCCTAGAGATACATGCTTTACATCTCTCACTGGACACCCATAGAGTTTTTGCCCAAGTTGAGTGAAGCAGAGTTCCTTTGTTTTCCCACTCACTGCCAACAGTATAGCAAAGCTTCTCTTCCCTAAAACAGAAACCCAAACTTTAAATTGTAAATTAAAAACATCACTATTTTGTGTGGTTCAGCTTTATGGACCTACTTTCCATGGACCTACTGAGGAAAGCAGGAACAAAAATGAACAACTTGTTCCTATTCCTGCTTATTGTAGCATCATAGTCTTGATTACATGATAAAGGAAAGAAGAAGAAAATAGAAAGGGCGCACGGTATTGCAGAAAGCCTTGGCTCAGATGGTTATAGACAGCTGCAAACAGAAAAAGAAAGCCCTATGTACTCCTTCTAGTGGTTGTCTGGATATTTGCAATCCAGTGTGATATCTCTATCTCATATATGAGTAGGGGTACCCCCCTCCCCCAATCCTGCTTGTAACCCAGATCTGGCAGTCATATAAACCATTTCCTGATATGAAAACCCACTACCAACCTGTATGATACGCTCTGTGATAAAACATGCCACAATCCAGTACCTTTATTTAAAATGCATATTGAGATGCATTTTAAATGCATGACAAATTGCTATAGAGGTGCAACCCAATCAGGCAACCATAGACAATGCTATTTCCTTGCTTCCCTTTTATCTCCTCTTCTCCATTATCTGCTGCTCCTATTTATTTCTGGAATATTTCATTTTGCCCCAGCATTGCCTACAAATGCTAAATCAGAGCAAGCTTCTGCTGAGCCTTAGGCAACCATTTCCAGATAATTGGTCCACTCTTTCAGACTCCAGAGAGGTCCAGTAATCCCTGGCTATTTTGAAAATGCCCCTGGCCAGCTCAGTTTAGCTCAGAAGAGGCCTTGTCTGAGCATGCTTAAGATAGTGTAAATTACTGTAATCACAACCATATCATATTTTAGGATGCAGAATATCAGAATGATGTGATAACTATGCAGCAGATAATGGAGAAGCTCTTAAAATTCTTATCATAAAATTCTTTTTTAATTATTTTTTTAAATACAACCTGACTGTGAAAAAGCTACATTTAATTGCTGGGAAAGTGTGCTATCTTGTTGATCAATGTCTGTCTGACTCTCTGTCTGCCTATAGAAAATTGAAGATCCTGTCAGCTTTGAGAAACTGTTTCCAGGAAGCATACAAATGTAAGACTTGAATCACTTGATGAATGTGAATCAATGGCATCACTCTTGCCAATATAATCACAGTTGTTGTTGTCCACCTGCAGTGATGGCTTTTTGAATCACATTGTCGGGTACATAATTCTGATGAGAAAGGATTAATGTAAGCAGAACTATGGGAGCTTCAATACTTAACAAACTTCACCAATGGTTCACAATCTATTAAATGAGGCTCTGGTCCTTTTGATTCAATTAATGAATAAATTGGTGGCCAAAATGGATGTATTGCTAGCCTGATGTGGAGCAACCATCAGCTGAAGGAAAGCCCCCAGTATGGGGAGTTAAAAGATATTCCATCTTAGAGTCTATTTGAGAAAGGAAATGTATGAGGCCAAACCCTTAGATCTATATCTGCCTTTTCCAAGAGAATGCAGGCAATCTGGTGAGATTCTTGTAAACTAGTGATCAACAATAAAGAAATCTATCTGACCCATTCTCAGAGCTGTTATGGTTATTTGTGCCTGACACATATTGATAATACAAGTAGTCCTCAACTTACAATCACAAAAGGGACCAGAACTTTAATCACTGAGTGAAGCAGTCATTAACCAAAATGCCCACATCTTTACTTAATCCAACAATCACAATTCTGAAAGTCCCAAATGTAGTTGTTAAACAATCTCCTGGGTTATTAATTAGACATAGAGAAAGATGCCTGCTAGGAAGAAATCACAGTTGCCTGTGAACTGGTTGCCATCATGATCATGTGATTATGGGTGGGTGGGTGGGTGGGTGACATTTTATGACATCAGAAGTGTTTTATAGGCAGAAAGCATCTTTCCAAAGCTGCCGTAACTTCAAAATGTCATTAAGCAAGGATTACATGGAGGGCCTTTCTTCTGATTTCATCCCCTGGAACTTATACAAAATTCCTAAGTTTCTGTATTCAGCTTGCTGCATTTCAAAAATGGGAATACAGTTGGAGACAGACATGGACAAGTTTAGACTATGGAGAACTATACTTAAGTCTTGATTAATATTACTTCTTCTCCTAATAGGATTAGCCCCTGTAATATTTATGGATGCTTAGAAAAGAACTATATTGAAAAAAATATCCTCAATTTACTGTCAGTGGAACATAACCAGGCAACAGCTCTTATAAAACAATACATAATAAACATTGAGTATCAGTTCAGCTTGACAGGTCATTCATCTTTCTATTAATTAAAGTAACAAATATAGGCTAAATATAGTTTTATACATTGTCATGCCCTTCCCTCATCTTTGCCAGTCGAAAAATATTGGGATTTTATAAACTATTTTACATTCATGTAGTAATAGACAAAGTAGATCACATTCTTCTTTATTATACATACTATAGAGATAATCAAAGCTTGCTCATTTATTCATTACTTGGAAGATACCAGACAACACAAAATCAGTTCTACAGCCATTTATTACTTATTAATAATTAATCTTGTTAGTTATAATGTAGCCAACTGTAGTATCTTATGCATCAGGAATTGATAGATAGTAAGAGTTAATTAGGCCAAAAACTTTCTACACTTGCATTTTGAACTTAGTACTTAATTGTCTTATAAATATTTTAAAATAACAAATAGTGATAGAATCATAGGGTTGGAAAGGTTCTGGAAATGTTTGAGTTCAATCCTCTGTTCAGGGCAGAATCATCAGATCATTCAACATTTCCTTGAAAACTTTCATGGATGGTTTACCCACAGCCCATAACTTCCACTGCTTAATAGCTCTCCCACTTTCTCAATTCCTTCATAATTTGAATAGGATCTCCCTCTAAAAAGTTTCTACCCATTGGTTCTTGTCCTTACCCTTGGGCACTAAGGAAAATAAATCTTCCTTGTTACTATTATTTTACCTTGATTAGACTATCTTAATTTAAAGATAAGTCCAGATTATTTTAAATTACTTATGGCAAGTTCAGTAAATTTTACATTGATTAGTGGAATGAATATATATATATATATATATATATATATATATATATATATATATAT